GATAATTTACACTTATTTACCCTTATTTTCACTTATTTAGACTTATTTACAAAGAGAGTTTTGACGTCCCGCCCCTCGTTCGTGTTATTATTCCGTTTTCTTTTTCTTGCGGCGAGTTTTTTTAAGGGGTGACTGCATCATTTTGATTATTGAGATTAACAGTTTCAAAAATAGATGTTACTTTATTAGGTTTCATAGTCATACAGTAATTGGAATACTTGATATTTTAGGTGAATTCTGGAGGAATTGGGTGTTTAGAGATAAGGATAAAACTATATTTTATCATAACATCTACTATTCCTGGATTTTTTTTCTCTATTGTAGTATTTCTCTAAGGTTAGAGCAATAAGATAGCTTAGCATATTTTCAAACTTGGTCTAGTACAATCCTCTTATGGATTTATAAAAGACTTAGGAGCTCAGTTTGGCTGATTAATTCCCAACCTTTACTTTTTTATCCTGGCAGCACCAATGCATTAATTTTCAAATAATCAGATTATCAATGACAAATATGGCACTATCTTTCTCCTGAGAGCTCTTCTGAAGATTTTGTATTGCATTTTGCTAATTTCGTATATCAAAAATGTATTTATTTTCTAATTTTCAATTTCCAAATGTTTATTTGTTTAAACAAAATTTGAATTTCCCGCGAGTTACGTCACCTAATGACAGAGTTACCGCCTATTATTATAGTTTAATATATTTCAGTATTCATTCGCCGTATTCTTAATAACAAGGAACAACATCAGTGAGCTCTTAGTATTTTATTTAATTCTATCTTACATTAAAATTAACTGTATCTAAATAAATTCTGCTAAAAATACTCTTAAACAAATTAAAGACAACATAATTTTTTATCGTTTACTGGACCAATAGAAAAAAGGCTTACTTCATAGGTAACATGTATATAGATAATTTATATCCGCATAATATTTTACATAAATTTAAATATATTAACATCTAATTTCAGAGAAAATAATTAAATATAATTGATTTAATTATTTAAGCTAAAAAAACACGTATACGTAGACTAGCATAATGTATTTTTACAAGCAACATCCATAGCATGAGCCGGATATAACAGAGTATGGGGAGGACATCTTGGCTCCACGAATTAAAAACAAATTCAAAAGAAAATATTAATATGATCAATGATTTAACAACTTAGTGGCTTCGAATTTAAGCGCCTTTAGACCATTAAAGGTAAGAATATAAAAGTCTTTCGTCCTCATTTAGATTAATTCGAATCATTAAGAAACCTTATTGATACTTTGTAGTGATTTTGTAATAATTTTTTTTCATAGGAAAGTCTTATAACCCGTATATTTCTCTGGAATTCTTAAACTTCCTTGTATTAATATTGATCGCAAGATAATTAGTGAAGGGCAAAATGACAGCATGTCCATTTTATAAGAGATGAAATAAATAAACAGAAGAAAAAAGGGGAAAAAATACCAGTAAAAGTGTACGAGGAAATCTGGCCGCAGGAAACAGATAAGGAATTCACGTTCATGATTAGGAATGATGATTAGTAATTAATTAGTAATTAGTAATTAGTAATTAGTAATGTTCAGGGGAATCATGAGAAATAATTAATACATTTAAAGTTGTTAGTTAGATAACAATAACACGTTTAGGTCTACCCAAATACTTTAGAATGTGGCTGGATAGTTAGAAGGTCATAGTAATTAATGTTTATTAATATGTACATGATAAGACTTTCCTTCACTGATAATGATGTGAAACTATCAGCTGCAAATGAAGCTACTGTTAAGCTCTCTTTCATTGTGTTGTGAATATAGGGCTAAGCCATGAGAATAATATAAGCTAATTATAATAAGTATTATGAGTATTAGTGGGAATAATGTTCCTTATGGTGATAATGATGATGCTGTTATTACAAGTGTTGTTATTGCTGATTTTATTATTTTTGTTCTGTATTTTTTGGTACTTCTGTTCCCATTTTATTATATCATTATCAGATATCGTCAATTGTGATCAGTCATCTTCATTAGTCTTGTCATGATTATTATTCTCATCATCATTATTATTTTTGTTGAGTTATATATTACATATCATTTTTACTAGAGATATGATGGTGTAAAATTATCCATTGTATTTAATGTGATAATATTGATATGTAATATTGTTTGTATTTTTTTATGTACACACCCATGTATATAGGCTATGCTAAAGGAGACATAAATGTAATACATGAATGGGTGTAATCTATACAATTATCTGTATGCTGAAAATACTTGTTAATTTTTTGTAATTTTTCCAGATGGTATCAACCATGGAAAGTTTGACAGCTGAGATCTTACAGGGCATGGGTGTTGGATCTCTTGCTGAAGTGGCAGCAACTTTACCGAGTGCTCTTACGACAGGTGGGTGACATGAATCAGGGTTCAGGTAAAATGCAGTTGAATAAACCTTCTTTTTTCTTTCTTTCTTTCTTTCTTTCTTTCTTTTATTATTATTATTATTAGTATTGTTATTGTTATTGTTATTGTTATTATTATTGTTATTATTGTTATTGTTTTGTTATTTTCACTTTCATTTCCATTTTCATTTTCATTATTATTAAAAAGGGCTTATTTTTAACAAAGCTATCAAATGATCTGGAGGAAAACTGATATCAAAAGATGTACTAAGTGGACATATTTTTATTGTTTCAGATGTAAACATCAGTGCTGCAGAAATGGAGCTCAAAGCTGGCCGGATAGAGGAAGCCTTTCACCAGCTGTCTCTCTCACACTCAACTCTCCTTCACCACCGAATGGCACAGCGACTTCATAAACCAAAGTAAGTCTAACTAAAGTCTTGGTATTGATGTAAATATTTTTCCATCAGGTGTTACTTGAGTATATACGTGTGCTTTTTTGCATGTTATTTGATATTGAATTGGTTAGGTGGGTTATATTTTTTTTGTGTGTGATAGTATATAATATGTGTGTGTCTGTGTATTTTAATTCTGCAATTAAGGAAAGTACATAGAATTATAAACTTAGCTAAAATGTTTTCCTGTGCATCTTTTGGATGAGAATGTTTGTATATTTAACTGTTACATATATTCCCAGATTTTACAAAGTGTGTTTTAAGAAAGAACAATTTTATCCACAGTAAAAATAAGACAGATGACGAAGGATACGATAGCGATTTGAACTCTATCTCTGTTGACAATGAGAAGATAACGCTAGCCACTACCAAGAAAGAAGGGACAATTGATTTACTACAAAAACTCCCCTCAGGTGAGTTCTCCCAGCTGTGTGACAATTTAGAATATGTTTAGAGTAGCACTTTTGTTCAAGCCATTTTCTTCAAATTTTAACCCACTGCCTCCTGGAATGGCATGAACATATAGCCCGTGTGCACTGTGAATTTAGTTTGTTAATTATATTTACACATAGATGGGGCCATGAGTACTTGGTTACGAATGAGTCAATTACTAAACAAACCTATCTCACCCATTTATCCTTATTCTTATTTAATTTTTCTTCTATTGCAGTTTTGTATTGTTGATGACATTATAATTATCATAATGGTAATAACAGTATTGATATTAATATTGTTAGAAAAAAAGGATCCCGAAAACTCAATGAAAGGAATAGTTAAGTAAACTTACATAGGCCTACCAACTGACTCCTTGGTGGCTGAGCACTTTTGAAGCCATCTATGTCAAAAGACAATTCACAAAGCAAAACTACAGTGAACATTACATGTTCCCTAAGGCAATGGGTTAATTTTTTTTATAGCATGATACTTGTTGTTTGTGTCTGAGTTTTTTGTCTGTATTTTAGGTCTTTTTATACAGGTTTGTGTTGCATTGAAAGTATTGATAAAGTTACTGGTCTGTTTCTGTATGTATGTCTATGGTTAGGTTTTTGTAATAATAGACATGTAGTTTAAGCTGTTTAAGAATAATTTTGAATATGTATACATATATATTTGTAAATATATATTTTGTGTGGGTTTTCTTTTTTGAATCCTTGCTAGGCAGGCTAAAATTGTCAAATAAAGAAGAATATGTCTATTACTATTTTGTATTTGTTCATTCATTATATTCCTTACCTTTTTCTTTTAGACTGGACCATAGTACAAATAACTTCAGCCAACGTGGGAGAGTGCAATCTTCGAAAAATAGGCGATCATCCTCCAACGCCTCGGTTATACCTATCCCGATGCACCTGTGGTCCACAGCCAACAATTGCCATACAGGTACTTTTCAGTTGGAATGAACGAATGAAGATGAAACAGATCTATGGGATCTTATGACTTAGTAATTTATTACCTCTGTGTGTTGTTGGTCTTTCTTGCTATAAAGAGAATTTTTGACTCGCCAGGGACATATATGTCATGCCAGCAATATTAGAGTCCATTCACAGTCTCTAGTCTTTCTACCATATGTATTTTGCATCATTGTTACTGAATGTTTTTGTAGGAGTTTAGGTTTAAAAAATGACACTTAGACCTCATATTATCTTACATGTCGATATCATAGTCACAGATCAAGACTTTATCGTTATTTATGTAGTTTGAAAACAGTTGTGCTGGCTCCCACACATTTCACATGGACCCAAGTTTGTGAAGCTCCTTAGATTTAGCATGCCTGGAGCCAGTGGGTTAACATTTAGGAAATATGATTTAAGATTGGCTTAGATTGGAATACCATTTAGGAAGGAGGAATAAATATCTAAAATTAAGTTAATAACTAATTGGAAGAGTGACAGTTAATAATTAATTGGAAGAGTGACATAACCTTACTCCAAAAGACAGTGGCAGCTCCAAGAGACAAGGGTGTACGAGGGATCTTGGAGGAGATTGAGCTGATCAAAGAGGAGAATAAACTCATTAACCGTGACTTCAGAAAGCAGGTGCAGAAGTATCATGCCAAGCGGGAAGAGCTGAACAACAGATTAAAGGTAGGATTTTTGGCTCAACCTTTAACCCATCTATTTTGTTTAATTATTCAGTCAAAGAGCATGAAGTCATTGAAAAATT